TCCTTCCGAGGAGTGGCTGGTGGGTTTGAACCACCAGCCTTCTGGTTAGCAGTCAAGTGCCTTAGGCACTATGCTACCAGAGCTCCTAAACTATATATTATTTACCTAAAAATAATTATTATAAATTATCCCTTGCATAGTTACATCAGAAATGATTGCTTTTAACTGCACCCAAATGAACTCCAACATCAAAGATGTTTATTTGTTTCACTATTTCCATTAGTGAGAAAAGTTGTCAAAATGTGTATGTACTCTCAAGCCAGGAAGATTGAAGCGATGCCTTACCATAAACATGCAAATATTCTCCATAAGTCTCTACATGATAAGGAGGAGGATCAAAAATCATTAGCTGGCAGAAGTAATAGCTGGCATGAGAAGTGTCCAAGTTGTGTAGAAAGAAAGAGACGCTATTATTGGATAACTGAGAGTGACAGAACTCCGTATTCTTAATGGTGGACACCCTGTTTCCGCTTTCCTTTGTTTTGGTGAGCTCACAGAGTATTTGCCTCCCTTTCAGCAACTGCATTTTAAATTGCTGGATAGTCTCAGGGTGTTTGCACAGAATTCGTACACCACCATTGTGAAATGTGAACAGCTCAGGCTTGGCAGAATCATTGACTTTTCCTGGACAAAAAGAAAGAAAACAAAGCAAAAGAGATATTTTAAGAAGATATTGTCATAATAATTATATTTGAATATAAAGGCAACTTCTCTTCGTACCAAACCAAACTCAATGCTATCGAGTCAACTCCAACTCATCACCACACCCAGTGGGTTTCCAAGGAGGTGAATCTTTGCAGAAGTAGGTTGCCCAGTCTTCCTTCCACAGAGTAGTTGGTGGGTTTGAACCACCAACCTTCTGGTTAGCAGTCATATCCCTTAGTCACTACATCACCAGAGCTTTCTTAATACAATACCTCTACTGCCTCAAAATAGAAGAACTTCATTTCCAAAAAGAAAGGATATGGCAAAAGATGAGAGTGTGCCCTAGCAAAATCTAACCAGAAATTTGCTTATCATATATGCATATATATTAAATAATACATGGGTATAGTATGAATCAAACACATATGGTCCCTGCCCTTTGGGAGCTTCTATATTTGAGGATAGTTAAAAAAAAAAAAAAAAAAAATCAATATGTAGTATTTCATTAAAAGTCAAGCTAGAAATGTAAATAACAGAGTCTACCGCAAATCAAGGTAGTAGGGTTGGAATTAGTTACACCTTTGACGGGGGGTCAGAAAAATCCCACTTTGAGAAATCTGAACTTAAGATTGAAGGATGAGTCAAAGAATGGGATATTTAGGAAAAGAAAGTAGTATAGAGGAAAAAAGCTTTTAAAGGTATCACGTAGCTTAAACTAAAAATGAATGATTGTGTGTAAACATGTATTTATATTACCCCCTCAACATGCGCTGGAGAGAAGAAGAGCAGACTCACCACTGCTGAACCTCATTCTCTGTCTTCTCTGAACCCCATTCACTGATTTGAGGCTTGACAATAAAAGTAAGACCCCCGATTTTTGTGGGCTTTTCATTTCATTTCACTTTCTAATAAGCTGTAAACTTATAGGAAGCTAAGGTTGTGTTTGTGGTTGGGAACCACAGAAGGAAGAAACTAACATGGCTTTGGCCTGGAGACAGAGCCTGAATTAATTAAATACATTCAAATTACTCTTTCTTTTTATTTTTTAATATGACAAAATCTCCATCTCGAAATTGGGGAGACATTATTACTGTGACAGTTTTTTACCTAAGTTTTGGAATCTTTGTCTTTATACTTGAGAAGACTACATACCCAGTGTAAAGAATAAAGGAAAAGAATACCCAGTCCTCCAGTAAAATAGAAATTCTATTTTCATATTTTTGCTCCTTATCTTTAAGATCTATACTTGTTTTATATAGGAAACATGTTATTGTCATTAAATGTTGTATCATAAGCCTTGTTTTTACACAGTCATCATAATTATCCTTTTTATGGCCATATAATATACCATAATGCTGATCTTTCGTAAGTGGTTAAAGCAGTCCACTAATGTTGAATATTGGTTTCATTTTCAGCATTTAGTTTTTAGGTAAATATTATGAAATTTGGCCAGATGGTTAAATATTATAACTCTCTGCATTTCAGTATTTCTTTCTGAAAGCATGACCAATTTATACTAGGACAAGCAATATGCAAAGGGGTCCATTTGCCACGATTCCATTTGTACTGTTATAGTTGCTGTTATGTGCCATCAAGTAGGACCCGACTCATAGCGACCCCTCCTTGGGTTTCCAAGGCAGTATTACTATGGAAGTAGATTGCCCCATCTTCCTTTCGAGGAGCAGCTGGTGGGTTTGAACCGCCAGCCTTCTGGTTAATAGTCAAGTGCCTTAGGCACTATGCTACCAGAGCTCCTTCCATTTGTACTAGTTGCTTTTATTTTATTTATAATTCATAACTCATATTTATTTTTCTGAATACATTTAGACTTTAATTTATATACTTCATATTACTAGGAGATAAATTTGCAACTTGGGGATCTGATCTTATAATATCAAGACAAGTGTTCCTGTTTCCAGTTATGGCAGTCTACATTATTTAAACTAATTCCCACACTGACAACAAACAAATGCTGAACAAAATGCCAAATTACCAGGTTAAATTTGAAGAGGGAACCAGAGCTTAGAAGGATGAGCAGAGCTTGGACACTGCTTTTACTCTGAGAACTATCTCCAAAATTCAGACTTTTGATTTGATATCTCAACTCTCAGAGTCTTAAAGTAAGGAATCTGATAGGAGGCCCTCTTGTCAGTAAGTTGAGATTCCAAAGAGTTACCTTCTTGGAGTACAGGTAAACCAGAAGTAAACTAGCCCTCATTCAGATTACAGCTCATCTTTAAACAACTTGGATAGTCTAGGAAATCGCAATTCTTGAAGTTTGTTTAAGATTATTTTGGACTTTATTATCCTTAGGCTTTTAAAAGTAAAAATACAACCTATTTCTGGAAGAAAAGATTATATCATACTCCTCAAATAATTCCCATGATAATATTTAAATACAATGCCAGGCACATTATCAAATATCCAAATACATAAGAAAACAAGGCAACAATAGGAACAAAACCAGAATTTATATATTTGAATTATTAGATCCTCAAAATGAAGCAATTAAACTTCCTGTGTTTAAAGAAATAGAAGACAAAATTGTAATAACACATCACTTTATTTCTTGATCTGTGATGAGTGTAATGGTGGTTGATACAATTTATAATCATTTATTAAATGGTGCATTTTTGTTTCATTTGCTTTTTCTTCTGTCTTCTTTTTCTTCTACAATAATATTTAAAAGTATACAGAAGGCCAATAATGCTTGCTTTATTTAAAAAATAAATGGAACAATGTAAGCAAAAAGCAAGGCAAAAAGAGCTGATGTGAGAGTCGGTGCCGTCTACATTAGATTAAAACAAAGGGTATCTCGTTTGTGCACTTATTTGTCTGAGAGTAAATTGTGTTCCACTACCATCGTTTTATGCTTATGTGTCTCTACTGCTTTTACTGCAGAAATAAAACCAGACAGCTGGTTCTCTGTTCTTTTAGAAATATTCACAGCAAATTTTCCAGAGACCAGAGTGGCAACAAGTAAACCGCAAAGAGATCTTGGAGCAAAAGTGTCTGTGGTCACTATCTGCACACACAGATGTAGATGCACTGTTTCTATTTTTGAACATGATTTTTGTCAGCAACATTTTCTTCTTTTATGCCCACACTTTGGCTTATAAACCAGTATGAGACAAACTGAAATGGTAGACAGCGCAGTGAGGTGGAAGTGCAATGTGGTGGTTCCCTAAGAAACTGGAGGCAAATTCTGTCTTTGCCACCAGTAGGGCTCTGTGACTAGAGTGTCCTGAACCTAAGCCTCCTCATCTTTGAAATAAGCAAATGAGATCAAAAAAGGTCTTATAGTTCTTTCCACTTTCTATGGATTCAGGCTCAGAACACATTAAGATAAAACTACAAACAACTGAAAGGGTTAATACTTTGCTATCAGATGAATCCTCCAAAGGGGAAGCTATGTTCCCATAATCTGTTCTCTGTGTCACTATCTTAATGGGTTAATCCTAGGAGTCAGGAGAGATGAAAATGAATGAGACTATCTTGCTTGTTTGACAAAGTGTTTTTTTTTTATATATATATATCTAGAAAGATAGTGTTTCAGCTTCTCTTGAATGACAGTGTCAAGATTACATGCTGTTCTGGTTATCTAGTGTCGCTCTGACAGAAATATACCACAAATGGGATGGCCTTAACAAACAGGAGTTTATTCTTACAATTTGGAGGCTTTAAGTCCAAGTTCAAAGTGCCAGGCTCTAGAGGCTGGGTGAAAGCCCCTTAACCTTGGGGTCCAACTCTGTCTCCTGCTCCCAGCCCACTGGAGCTAGAGGCATTTCTTCACTCAGACAGCTGCTGACTGCTGAGGCTGAGAAGCCCGAAGGTTGACAAGTAAAAAGGCACAGCCCCAATGTTACCAAAGCACACGGCAGGCCATTAACTTAAGTCCATTGTAAGTCCCAAGGTTGGCAGAGCATAGCAGGCTGCTGAGCGAAGACACGGCTACATACAGGGCTCAAGTGTGCCATAGGCTAGAGAGCATTTCCAAGGCTTCTCCTTAAATACAGGAAGCAGACTACATTCCCAAGGCAGCTACGCAGCTGCTTGTGGTGGATCCCACCATGCAGCTGATTACCAGTGTCATCATGGGGAATAACTACCACTAGCTGCCCAGCCACTCAATCAGGTCCAGCCAAGATGACACACAAACATAACCATCACACATGCCATTGACATCTGGGGATTCCAAATTGTCACTTCCATCGGACACTGTTAATTATTCATTTTATCATTTTTAACCTAAGAAATGTATTGTTGTTGGGTGCTGTCGAGCTGATTCTAATGCCTAGTGACCCTATGGGACAGAGCAGGACTGCCCATAGGGTTTGCTAGACTGTAATCTTTACGGAAGCAGGTTCCTAGGTCTTTTCTCCCACAGAGCATCTGGTGGGTTCGAACATTCACCTGTCAGTTAGCAGCCAAGCACTTTAACCATTGCACCACCAGGGCTCCTTAAGAACTGTGTAGGTGACTTCTTATTATTAAATGTGGTAATGAGAGGTCTTATCCAGGTTGCCACGTATCCAATGTTTAACCTTTCCATCCGGAAAACTATTGGCAACTCTAAGTCTGCAATCTGAATGCTTTCAGCTAAAAGAACAAGGTACGGCATTTGGTCAGTGCTTCATAATTGCTTTGGCACCCATTGAACAGATGTACTTATATACTCAGTCAAAAATTCTCCTTAGTCTTTAATGGCATTTGAAAAATAGTGCCAAAAGGAGATCATCCCTTATAACTACAATTAAAGAATTTAATGGACAAACAAGGAAAATCTGAATATATTCATTGCTTATAATGGCAGAAGCAGCTAATGTATTTTCTCTACCCTCCCTGGATTTTCCTATCTCCAAGTCTAATATTCAGGAAGGAGTTCTAGTTTGATGCTATCAATTTTTAAAAAATGCATTTTATTGAAATATAATTTATGTACAGTGAAACACACAAAACTAAAGTGACATGGGTCAATG